ATATTCTGATAACGATGCCTGTACTCACATTTCATTAGGTTAAACCGATTAACTCGTGTTGCATGATTCAGAGATTCACACGATTCAGATAAAAGGCTTGAATAAAGTACAAAATTTCAGTATAGCCATAATTTTATAGTGTTTTGGCCGTGTTTTAATATACTTATTCATAATTTTCTCTGCAAGTATAGAAATGAAGTAAAATATCACCAATAACAATGTCCAACACTACTTCAAAACTAAATGTTAAGAAATGCTGTGTATCTTAAAGTAAATAAATAGTAAAATTACAGGTATATTTGACAGTGACAGTGACATTTTTATTAGTACGGCCAACTCATGGCCTGATCACGATAACATTATTATAGCTACTAATTTACGTCAAAGAGTGTAAAAGATTCAAGTTTACCCATCAATTTATATGTCCAAGACTTTCATCCTTCTTAAAAATTTGACCTAAATCAGGTAAACACAAAATTACTCATCTGGACTGTGATTTATACATAAGCATTAACCGGAATCAATGATTAACAACGCTTAATCTTGAGCATAATTTCCTTCACTGCAGGTTACACGAAGTGTGTCAAGGAAGCTTTTACATGCTGCTAGTTTTAAGCATTATCGATTTGGCCTTTGAAGGAAATGGCTCTTCATAAAATGTTGACCAAGATGAATGCAGCCTGCGAGATGGAATTCAAACATCGTCGGCTGAAGCTATAAATCTATGTTTTAGATTTAAGATCTCGACAAATTTAATCAAAGTGCGGCATGAATTATTGAACGAAGTGAAAACGATTAATTAATATCCAGGAATGACCGTACTTACAAGGCTACAAGCGTATAAACATGTATAGGGTATAATATTTAAAAGTTTGCTCTCGGTGCAATATTGATAGCGTATTATTGTTTTAAATTTGATGAGGCTATGAGTTACAAAGGGTAAAGAAATCATATTTTTGAGAATGCCAACCCAAATGTTTTCTTTTAAATTTAAATAGTCAGGATGAACTAACATGAAACTGGAGACAGTTAATTTATCGGTACACTTTTCAATAATATTATTAAGTAAGAAATTTAATATCAAACAGCTGTTTACAAGTTTGAAAAAGAATCGAAAAAATTGCTTGAATGATTCCTGACGATGACAGTTGTTTCCAAAATTTGAATGCGTAAAATAATAAAGTAGTACGAAATTATTTGAGATTTAATAGTTTCCATAGATCGAAATGAACTATAAGAAAATGCAAATGAACGGTGAAGGGCTGCTTTTTCTGTAGCTCATCCAGGAAATTACAGAATTGCCCATATAAAAATTGTAGAATGTGATCCAAAAGCAAGACAGCAAACAAATTGAGCTATACAGTCTGAGTTACACATTCTGTGTAACAGATAATAAACAATACAGTCTGACAGATAATCTGGCGCAATAACTTTCCTAGCCAGCAGCTGGAAGCAAAATGAATATCAAAGTGAAAAAATATCATACATCATTCTAACTATTGCATCCAGTAAGTTGAGGTTAGTTATTAAGCGTAGGACGTACGAAGATTTGCATTTGTTCAAACGAGTCGTCTCGCCTAAGCCATGGCCGGTCCGCTTTTCTCGCAAGTGGCAGAACAAAATCTATAAAGCTAAAGTATACCTTTGTTTTGCTTCCTGTCGAGTCTCAAGCCTTTCCAGTCGCAAGCGGATATAAACACGAAAACAGTCTAAACGAAAAATGCAAGGGCTGCTCTACAGCTTTATTGCTCGCAAGAAATAGAACCTGGCAAGTGTTGCGAATGTGTTAACCAAGAGAACACGTATGAGTCTTAGTTAAAGAGGTCAGCTGTGTCAAATGAATTTCTATTTCATATGATTGAATTTAAAGCTCTGTTTTAAAAGTGCAATCGAGCTCATGTAAATTGATTAAAATCAAAGAATCCGTAAAATATATTGCTTGAGTAATCGATTTATGGAATTGAATGAAAATGTGTTCATATTTTTCACGATATTTTTATATATATCGGTGAAATTTCATTTACGACTTAAACACCTTTACCTGTTTTACAATGACATGAGTGAGCAGAAAGAGGTTAGAAAAGGCGTCTCCTAATTTGGCTTCTGAAAAATAAGATGATTCAGCAAGTCACAGACATTCACCTAAGCCTGGTCCATCAGCCTGATCAAGTTTGGGTTCAGCAAACACATTGGCAATTTGTCAGAGCACCTCAAGCCGAGGGGCTCCTTCTTATTTTGTTGAGGTAACAAAAGCAGAAGTTTGCTTGTAAGGTGCACGATTAATGATAGCAAGGGTCGTCTACGATGATCCAAACGGCTCTAGGCTCCTTCTTGTTCCCATGGTCTGGCAGATTCTTGAAGACCTCCAAGATTCCTGAACTTGAAAGATGATGGACGCCTCATTGAGCACCCACTAGTGCGGCCAAGTTTTTTATTAAAATTTCATTTTTATTGAGGTCGAGTTTGCTAAGAGGTTTTTATATTCATAAAAGACTCCAAAGTTTAGCCGGCGCTAGGATTTATCGTTGGGTTTATGCGATTTCTGGTTTCTAGAAGTTCATCTAGCAAAAAGGATAACGCGTTTTGGAACACAGATCACTAAGTCCGGGACCGAACATGCAGAGGCCAAGCACCAGTCGGAGGTCGTCAAAACGGTCTGGTGAATCCAAGAAGCAAAGTTTGAAGCGCTGACAAGTTAAAAAAGATGGCGCGCATGGTAATTTTGTGGCCATGTAGAGGTCAATTCGAGTTCTGGAGTCAAATATGAACTACGGAGATGTTTCACAAATATATGTTATAATTATTCTGGCGGCCGTAGAGGCCAGTTAGTTGTAAATGAAGATGATTTTATCGAATTGAATTTTTAAGCATGAAAGATTATGAATAATTTCAGTGCATTGATACGGCTTCCATATTACTGCAAATGAACTTTAGAATTCTACACGTTTTCGTGCTTTCGTTATCCTACTTTCGGCAACAATGAAATATACACGAATAGATTCTCGTTATTTTTTTATATTTGCTCAATGAAGAGCATTATTCGATCATTCGTTTGATACATGGGAGGTTCTATAGATTATTTGTTAATTTTTTGCAGCAGTTAATGACGTAGGGCATTACATTGATGCAATTGAGCAAAATGAAGCTGATTACTTTAATATTTTAGTAAATGGTAACTATATTTCACGATTGTCTGATACAGACTGTAGAAGTTCTCAATAAAAATGCAGGTGATTTTCGTAATAGTTTGCGCTTTTCATATAATTTAAGCGTATCTCCTTCTCTGGGAGAAAATTTGCACGCGGTACAAACAGCACTGTTATTTATGGAAGTACCACCAGTAATTGGGCCAATCGAAAATGTGATGGAGGCAATTTAACATGAAATAGTCTGGCTTGCACCACTCCCAATTCGAATCCCGAATACTCAAAGGGTTCTTGAAACGACAGCAAAATTGGCGCCACAAAATTCAATCTCGCTCTATTTTTAGAGAAATTAATTGGGGAGGCTGCCTTAGACCGCCATCTTAATAAAGAAGACTAAGCATTTTTGCAGAGGACGTGGAGTTTCAACGGGACACATGCGACGCCATTTTTTGCGCTCCAAGATGCACCCAAGTTTCCCTCGGTGAAACTTTAGAGACTTTATCAAAATTTCGCTTTGTTGTGGGACAAATTTGCGGGGACAAGCAAGGCATGAAGTCAGATAATTTTCAAGTATGCCTTACTCGCACCTAATACAGTAATGGGAGCAGGAACAACAGAGCTATGCAATAAATATGGCGTATTTGCCGTAAAAAGAGCAATACATTCCAAAATAAAAATAAAGAAATGAATTCGCCGTGATTGTTAATTATGACGCCAAGGCAAATAAAGGAAGGGGGATTTTTTGCCCAAATTTGAGGCACCGGCCATTAAGGCGAAGCATTCCTGTCGTTTTTTGAAGTACTCACTTTTGAAATCGGAACAGTTCGTCGGTCATTGCTTCATTTTGCTTCATATCAGCAGTCAACACTTGTTTCTTCTCGATTCCCTATTTATATAATATCTAATTATAAATGAAATTTGCCGCTATGCTTAGTTGAATCACATTCATTGAAGCTAATTCTCAAAACTCCAGAAATTTCTGAGCAGAAACGCGACCACAAGCTGAGCTGTTGATGTTGCCAGCTTCTATTACAAATAATTTGTCATGATAGCAGATACGTTTGATGCGAAAATTTTCTTGGTATAAAATCCGTCCTCCGTAACGCATAAATACGAGTTTTAGTAGGCGACATAAAAGCTGAATATTATAAGAAGAAACGCATGTTTGACGCTTTTGCGCGCCACCTAATGAAGGATAACAATTTTTGTTGTACAGTATGTTGATGTAGTCCGTAATTCTTCTTAATGAACCATCTTTCAAGTTAAGCTCCCAACAAATGTGCGCATACCGATTTTCACGCAAAGCACAAAAATTAACTTTTTCATGCATTGTAACTAGAATGAGCAGAACGTAACGGTTAAATTTCATAAGACGTAATGCACAAACATTTGTAGTTTTTCACAAAATATTATAGCAATATTATCTATTTGTCTCCACCTGTCAAAATAAATCTAATGTAAATAAACTTATCTCACAGAACATGTAAACACAGGCTATGACAGGCCTTTTGGAAGCGATAACTGAAAATATTTTATAATTTATAAGGGTTCAATTTTTGCCGTCATCCTGTAGTGTGAAATAATTTTCATAGCCGCACGGATACAGGAATTAATAAGGTCGATAAAATCAAGCAAACATGGACGCAGCAAACTCCTGAGATATCGAACTCCTTCACTTTCTGATTCTTCTGGAATTTTTGCCTACTAGTTACACTTAGGGGGAAATCAGCCCTTTTTTCAAACTTATTGAAATAAATTTAATTTCAATTTTATAAATAATAACAAGATATGTAATGCTGAGCTGCAAAATACTATATGAACAATATAAATGTAAAAATAAATAAGTTATCTCACCTGAGCAGACGCTCGCAGACAGTCGGGCGTGAGGCAGACCTCCGTGTGGTCTCCTTCGCTGGTCTTGGGCCATAGAACGACCAAGGTGACCAGAGCTATCAGAAGTAAAATGCAAGACGCAGAACACAACAGCAATATCACGAGACCTTTCTTGTTGAGTCCATGTTTCTGGGCGAGCCTGTGGAGTTTTGAATTCGACTGGTAGGTTCCTCCTAACTGATTGGAACCGTTGAGCGGATGGTGAGCTTGCGTAGAACCACCGAATCTGTGGTGAAGATTTTGCTGGTGGTACCCGTGCATTTGCAATGGTTGTTGCTGTTGTTGTTGAGGCTGTGGATGGTGATGGTGCTGGTTACCGTTATCGTCTTCATCGTCGTCGGGGAGTGGGTGCTTGCTTGTGGAATGAGACAACATGGTGTCGGTGGGACCTGCAGAATCATGATCGTTGTTAAGGGGGATGTGTGCATTTGGAGTTGGGAGAGCTGTCAAATCTAACATGGAAGCCCTCTTGATGCTCGTGGAATTGCCATTTCTACTCAAAGTCCCAGCTACAGAACCACCGAAGCCACTTAGTCCTGAACCTGAAGTTATAACACCACCACTTCCGATTATCACACCACCACTTCCAATGATAACCCCACCACTTCCACTGTAGGTATCGAAATCAGTGGACACCCCGGTGCTATAAGGTAGGGTGTTGATACCTTCGCCTCCGTATTTCAGAACTGGTCCACCATTTATTGTCAAAGGAAGAGTTGAGCTGCTATATTCAGAACTTGGTTCTCGGGAATTAGGGGGGTTTGAAAAGTTCATATTGGGTTCTAAATTTTGGGAATGTGGATGAGGTGGGGGTGGGGGACTCTCTTCAAAGGAGTCGAACCTGTGCATTGTCATAAGATTGATTGACTCGTAGCAAAGTTGACCGAAACGAACTTCTCAACAGAAGTTATGAACATAAAAAGTCAAGCTTTGTTGGCGCTTGGCTGACTCAGGGCCATCATCAGTAAGCTGAAACGAGCAATCCAGATTGAGTAGAAAAAGTAGTCTTAATTTCCTGATCTCAGCACAGTTGATTCAGATGACCGCTAAATGATCATGTTCCGATAAAGGGCTTCGAACGATTTGCTTAATTGTTTTCATTTGTCAGTTGGCTGTTAAAAGTGTTGTGGCCATATGCACTCGAATTCATTCTCCTTGGCATATACTGAGAAAAAAATTAATTAATCTTATTCGTAATTCTTCAGATTATTCGAGCTTCAAAAATAAAAATAAACTGTTAGAGTATAGACAGTTCAACTAATAACATAATCCTTCTATTATTAACTGCACTTGCGACTGAATAAGTTGCCTATCGATTATTTGAGAACTGTTATTGAATAGCTTTCGTTAACTGTTATTCAAGTAAAATGGTAATTATACAGTTTGAACTGACTCGAAAAAATGTAAGTTCAAAAATCCTCTTACAATTTACACCTTCGAACATAAAGCATTAATTAGTTATAAGGTCAATGAATTTTGAAATAATTTATTCTCGATTCAATATTATTGTCCATGGCAAAGAAGCAACACTGAATAACCGCAAGAAAATGATAAAGTGTAATCAAAAGATAAAGAGGCACTTATAGCATCCACCGATAGATAAGCATATGCTCCACAAAGATGTCACGTATCCTAATCAACCTCATGGCCCACATATAATAAAAACTCGCAAACATAACAAAAAATTACACATAAACTCACTGGCCATTTTCTTTGTGTGACTAGAATACAAGATTTCTTGGTCGCCGTTCAAGACAAATGTTAGATGTCGCTTCTTCACAAAGCGCGTCAGCCAACGACTGCGCAGCGGAGCAGCTTACACTTGACACTACCGAGGCTCAGCTAACACTGACACCAGATCTGTTTTCTGGTTGGTCAAAGAAAGAGAAAAGACACGCCTCTTATGTTTAAAATTATTTTTTTTTATGATGTGAATGAATGCTAAGTTTACATATATATTTCAAAAAAATTAGAGATGTAAATATTTGAAAGGAAATGACCAAATGCCTTGGAAGTAATCCAGTCTGGCTACGTAATCCAGTCTGGCTACGTAATCCAGTCTGGCTACGGCGACTGGTCGTGACCGTTGGTATCACAAATGTTTTTTGCTTGGATTTGAAAATTTAAGTCGAAGATTATTACCGAAATTCGCCAGTAAAAAGTTCTCGGAGTTTTAAAGTAATAGTTAGTGGATTTCATGTCAACAAACAATTCTTAGAATATTCAGAATAAATAATTATAGCCTTTATCGTCAGACCAATAATAGAATTTAAGCAACTGTTTAGATTGTATTTTGTATGTTGAATTGTTGATTACTAGCCTTGCACTACCATGCAATACTTTGATCGGATGTCAGCTGACATCCAATTACCTATTTATCAGCATTTAACTCGATTTTAAATTTTGCCTAATGCTAGTCTTTGTTTTGAAAGCTATAAATGTGAGCTTTCTTTCGTTTGAAATTTTTATTATTTCTCGTGAATAGAGATGACAGTTCTTTCATTTTGAGAGGTGTCAACTCTTTCACTTTGAGATTCAAATTCTTTAAATTCGATAGAGATGTCAAATTATTTTTATCCGAAAGAGAACCGAATATTTCTCTTTGAGAGATTAAAATAATTTTATTTGAATGAATGTACTGTCCTTTCATTCACCGAATAGTAAATAAGTTTTATTCGAGAGAGAGGTCAACTATTTCTAATTGTAAGAGTTGGCAATTCTTTCAGTTTGAGAGATAGAGAGAGACATCAACTCTTTCTATTTGAGAAAGATGGCAAAGAAAACTTATGAGACGTATCATAAGTTGCTCACAGGGCTCTATATTTTGCGTAGCTTCAATACCACGAGCGTATCAAGATTCTCCTCGACAGACGGTCAGTTTTATCGTTCTCAATGTACGACAAAAGTTGGACACTTAGCGAACGAACGAAACGGCAACGACAGTCTCGGCTGCCGAAGGGAAATTCTGTGCCAACCTAAGGCCGAGCCACGCACGAGAATGAGATAAGTATGAAGTGAAAATATAGAGTGGACACGAGTAAAAAAATACTAAGAATATTAGTAATAATTCTTGTGAAACACGACAGTCTCGGCTGCCGAAGGGAAATTCTGTGCCAGCCTAAGGCCGAGCCACGCACGAAAATGAGATGGTATGAAGTGAAAATTTAGAGTGGAAACGAGTAAAAAATACTAAGAATATTAGTATTAATTCTTGTGAAACATAACTTTTTAATAGAGATAGCACCTTGATTGCAATCCGATGATAATGTCATTATTTACATGCTAAATTTTATTAATGAAGTGTAATAGGAAATGTAATTATCAAGATGTAATTCATGTAACACGTAATGCAAAAAATAAAATGAACAGTTGCCTTCTTATCGTAACTCAAAGAATGGGGTTTTGTTATATAAATGATGAATGAATATATGTATCAAAGGTTAATGATACTTAGAGGTACATTGATACACATATCTTAGTTTCACGACACATTGATATATGCTAGATTTTACTAAAACATTCAACATTTCTCGCTCGTAGAATTTCAACTCCTCAATTGGGTAGCACCTTCTCAAAAGTTTCATCGATAGGTCAAACATCATCTATATGTTTCATTCAAGTTTGGAAGAAGATTGCGTTTTCCAGGTGATCGGTCACAGATGTGTTTTTAATTACAGCTTATACGAGGAACTCGAGCGCGATCCTATTGATGTTGCCTCTGGGCGTCTTCAAATTCAGAGCTTCCATGTTTCCTTGAAGAGTTGCAAATTTTAGTGAAGTATTGATTTAATTTGGTGTTTTAAGGGCAACATACTGTAAACAATAACTATGTTGCAGTAGCATGTAATTACTGTAATTGATAATTGTAATCAGCTTTCTATTTAACATTCCATCTGATAATTAAACATTCCAGTTCCAAAACCAATAAATAAAAATCTTCAAAATCATTATAATATTCACACTTTTCTGTGTTAACACCATTACAAGCAAAAATGAATTTGCTTGTAATTCCTTAGTCGACTATCATTGGTTAATTCTGCCAAATAAATGAACAAACTACAGTGGGGGGAAATAAATATTCGTACACTTGAAAAATCGTATTTTAATGCATGTAAGTACACAAACTTAACAGGAAAAGTGATTTAAATTATGTTTAGAGACGCATAGTATTCAAAAATACTATCAAAAGAAATTATATCTCAATGCAACAAAAAACAATGCAACATGTTCACTTTTGAGGGTGAAAAAAGTATTCGTACAAAATAATAAATCCGCATTATTTTAATTTAATACTTGGTTGAATACCCTTTATTCAGCTCAACAGATACCAGTCTATTTCTATACGTCTCGACCAATGATTTGCAGATGCTGACTGGTATTTTATACCATTCTTCTTGGCACACCACCTTAAGA